AATATGATCACCTTTCAAAGCACTGGGATCATGAAAAAACTCCTACACATTAAGTTTTTTCCCTTGGTTCAAAATTCAACTGAGAACGAGACCTGAGAGACTGGGAATCCCATATTTAAAGCTTTGGTACCTAACTTCACACAGTAAGAATCATGTAAAACTATAATGTCTTTAACAAATCAGACCCCAACATCCCGCCTTCATCGCATTAAAAACATGTTATCTTTTTTGAAGGAACGAGCCCCGTCAGTCACTATTTGACTCTTTGGGCTGAGAGCTGATTGGCCAAGTGTGGTCCTCCATTTTTCTGTCTGAAAAAGCAGATCTAAAGATGTGACAGAGGCCAGATTTACATGAAAACTAGTGACAGCAGCAAACTGTTGTGAGAAAGAGAAACTAGTTACAACTTTTATTTTACTATGGCGTCCAGTTGTTGATTACTTGCCGACACACAAAGGCTTTAAGGGCATTGATGATGGTCCAGAACATTTCATTACATTTATGGACATTTTTAACATCTATGGACCAAAGACTGATATGGGTTTTTTATTATTTACTGAATTTTAATATAAATCTTAGTCTTCAAGGATTTGACTCTTTGAACTGAAAGCCTCACCCTGAATAAACTTTTCCTTCAGTCAATTTCAAGTTTTAATTCGAGATCAATGTCTGCCTCATAATAATTAAACTGGTGAAAACACAGGGAGCCGCAGAAGCCCAGACTCAGCAGTTTCAGTAGCTGGGTTGCTTCCACGTTGTTTTAATTAACAGACTCTTGGCTTCTGCTGCGATTCAATTGGAAATGTCAAAAATACAGTTCGATTAAGTTTATACTCATTCCAGATGTTGAGGTTAATTCAAACACTACTCAAATATTACATTACAGTTTCAGTAACGTGTGGGAAAGGGAGGAAAAGCTTTGGACTGTTGTGAACTCTTCTAACCAATACAATATTCAGATATTTTCAGGCCTTTTATCGACAGGGACAGCTCCAACGGGATATAACGTTAACATTTTATTGAAAAACTGCGTATACAAGGAAAATGACTTCAAATTATTATTAATTTTTCACTCTATACAAAGTGACAAGCTACTGTTAAGCCACAGCTGCCCTGGGGCACACTGACAGACCAGTGGGGGCGGGTCCCGGCTCAAAAGTTATAGCATAGCTGACCTCTCGAAAACGTCTTTACAGGATGGACCAAAAGTTGGCTCTTGGCCCAAAGCTCCGTTCCACATGTGTGTCAATGCTGAGGGGGGTGAATTTGTTTAGACCACTCTAGTTTTCTCGCTGTGAATTTTTGAAGTCACTCGTTTAAATGAATGGGGCTCGTGCCGGCTGACGCATGCGCAGATGCGTTTTTTTCACATTTTCCAGCCCCCGCGGCCATTTTGAATCGCTCCATGAGAGCCCAATTTTTGGCCCATTAGTTAGAACGGCGGAGATAGGCGTGACTACGTCCTTTCATATATAAAGTCTATGCGACAGATGCGAGGCAACCAGTCTGTGCCATTGGCCCCTCCAACCACCACCACCAACCATTCACACACACACAGACTCATTCTAATGTGGGTGAAGTGTCTTGTACACAACCAGGCCCTGTCTACAATTCAAATAAATGAATAAATTAAATAAATATAAGCAGGAGGTTTCACATTTGGTGCAGTTCAAACAGTATTAAGTACACATACACATCTTGGACCAGCTCAGGCTTGTGCTCTGGGCTCCAGTGGGAACCCGTGATGTAAGCTGCTCCCTCTGCGCTGCAAACACTTCCTTCTCCTTTGGCCTTCTCTTCTTTTAATTGATGGAGCAAAACGCGGCGCATTTACTCTCCTTTTGTAACTCGCCAGATCACATAGCGGCTACGAGTTCTAACGCCGCTGCCGGCCCGATTTTCCCAAAGATCCAAGGAAAAATAAACGCCTGGTTTGAACATTAAAACGCAAGTACGCTGGGTGGAATTAGTCAATGTGCATAATTTAGAGGGAGGCTTTTGAAACGTGAGAATGTGATCGAAGGTTTGGAGTTGGTTTGGACATAATTGCGGTAATTTTTTGGAAAAGTATAGATTTTATGGTTTTTGCTTAAAGCTACTGTCCTTTTTCTCAAATACATGTGGATCATCCCAATAGGAAAAGTCTTAAAAGTGAAATGTTGTGAAGAAATCAAACCACAGCATGTAGGCTTCAGCTTATTAGAAAACACATCTCTTGGGTAAGAAAGAGCCCTGTGAGTCACTGCTTGAATCTTTGGGCTGAGAGCTGATCGGCTGAGAGAGTGTTGTCCTCTCTTTTCTTACTTTTAAATCTGAAAAATCTGACAGAGGCCAGAAAAATTAGTGTTTTGACAGCGAGAAACTAGTGAATGGATTTAAAGTTCATTATTGAAAGGGGTGAAAGTTACAGATCCCTGCTTTAAATGTGGCTCATTTCATTACTATATTTTGTACATTTGAAAACTCAATCTTGACCTAAACCTTTTTTTTTTTTTTTTTGTAGATCAAGCACAAGTCTGCCTGATCAGACCACAGAGTAAGTTAGCGGTCTTCAGGTTTTTCTGCCCTTTCTATGTAACTGACAACATTTGAATTGGCAAAAACCAAACCAACAACTCTAAACCTTAGATCATAAACAAGTTCATACAGTCATTCAGCCAACTACAGCACTGCCAATATACACATACCATGTATTGTTTCAAAGCTTGGAACCTCTAGAATCGAGTGAGCAATTAAGAAATCACCATTCAGGCAACTCCAGCGCCACCAAACCTGTCTCACAATTCATTAATTGGTTAATTCTGTGGATTTCCTCAGAGATGACTGCTGTTGTGATTTAGGACTATACAAGAATACATTGCATTGTATAGTTTTGGTAAAATCTAATAATAAAGTCATGTCAAAACCCCGTCATAATGCCAGACTATGCAATGAGAGCTGCCGAGCCTGTAAATGTCATTCATCTATAAATAAGGAAATGCTGAAATCATGTGCAACACTGCAACTTCAGAATGTCCACGGTACAATGTCGCTTTACTTTATCTACTTATTATCTTGCACCTGTATGTGCAGCATATAACACACATACATACAGTATATATTATTATGAAAGACTGGTATTGAAGCTACTTATTCATTTTGTATATTGTGTGTGCTCTTACTACTGTCCTGTATGTGTACTGCAACATTGGAATTTCCCCACTGTGGGACAAATAAAGGATCTCTTATCTTAATGTAAAATGCATGAGGACACAGCAACAGCATCACTGAATATTGGAAGCAAGTGCACCTCTCGATCACTGTCACAGAGTGGCCCCGGAGAAAGTCAACCGTTCTTTGCGGCTTTTAAACCCACTCTTTCACACAACCATGAACTAAAACAGACCCTCTATTCTCCATTTTTCCTTTTGTAGATGGAAAATATTAAAGTTTAAAATGATACTACCAACTGAGATGAGAGACTTCAGAGAGCGCCAGCATCTAATTTAAAAATCCTCACATTAGACAAAAACACAGCCTCGTCTTCCCCCAAATTTACTCTTATAATAGTTTTCAACAAAGACCAGAATACAGCCACTTTAGAGTTGATTGAATAGCTTTTGTTCTTCGTAAGAGAGATTACATGAAATTACACACTCTAAATATTTTTTTTCAAAATCGGTTCAAAAATCAAGACTTTGTTTTTAGTGTCGTCACATTTAATATTGAAGTCTTTAAACTACTATACTAAATGTTCTGAAAGTGTGTTTATGTTTATAACTGTTAAACCGTTTTGAAATCGTTGGGAATATGTGCACTGGACAACGTATTAATCTGGAGCTTTGACTACAGACGCTACTCCCTCATTTAGAACAAGGCCTGTGAGACTAAGCCGTCCACATGACAGGTAATCTTTAAAGCTGCGGTACTGAAATTTATTGCAGAACACAAAACGTTTTGAACAAATTAGACCATAAAATACTGTCTGGGGGATTTTCAGATTCCCCACTGTGCAGATGAACTGTCTGTGTGAATGGCATGTTAACTTGAATATGTCCCCTGGGGGCTCCCATACACACCGCCAGGCTCATAACAATGACATAATGACACACAACCTGCACTTTCACCGTTTTACAGAGTCACAACAATCGCAGCTGAACCCGTTTAGTCAGTGTCTTAACCGACAGATCAGCAGTTTGTCAGTGAGTGGGAATACTAAAATACTAGAATAAGATTTCACCATTGAATCTGGCAATCCAAGAGTAACGGCTCAAAAAGATATTTGATTAGATTTGATTAGGGTAAGTGCAATACTCTAGCAAAGACCTTGATTCATTGTATGTTTAAAGAATATTTTTCATGCTCATGGATTTGCCATTTGAGAGCAGACTCTGGCACAGAGGATGAAACATGGAGAATGGATTGAAAATGAAAGCAGCTTCCACTTGATCCTTAAACAAGTTCTAACATGAATGTGGATTTCTTTGGAGCATATCACAATATATCGTTGCTGCCTCCACCGCATTGTGAAACTATAGGCTCCTTGGAAATCGCTAATTATCCATCAATCCATTTTCTTCTGCTTTATCCCTTGCTCAGTCGTGGGGTCAGCAGTCAGAGCAGAGACACCCAGATTTCCCTCTCAACACACACTTCCTCCAGCTCATCTGGGGGAATCTTGGGGCGTTCCCAGGCCAACTGAGATATGGCCTCATCTGGCTCCTTCTCAATGTGAAGAAGCACAGGTTGCCTCACTTCTGTCAGTTTGCCCCAGGGCAGCTGCGGCCAAGTAGTAGTTCATCACCACCGTGCATGGAGTGAAAGAACAACGAGATGTCCAGCGTGACCGAACAGTGAATTGAGAGCGTTCTTTCGACTCCACTCTCTCCTCACCGCCGCAGAATGCTATTGATATAAGACATTTTTGCTGTTATCTTACACCTTAGCAAACACCTTATCAAAACGATAAGGTGTTTGCTGCAGCTGTACAAAAAGTAAACTTGTAACAGAGCATTTCTTACCGATGAGCTGAACCCTGGCCTCGTAGTTCCCCCTGATCTCCGAGTCGGTGCTGGGCGTTTGGCAGGTGTAGAACCCGGAGTCGATCTGTTTGACGTCGGAGATCTTCAGCTCCACCTCGTTGTCCTTGAGGCGGTTCATGGAGATCTCTCCGGACGCCACTCTCCGCGTGAGCGAGGCGTGTGAGTACGAATTATCGAAGGTTGAGATGATCTTAATCTGAGAGTCAGTTTGGGCTCGCGTCATCACCCACTCGAAGTCCTGAGCAGAGGGAGAAATACAGCATGAGTCAGAGAGAAAAGGGCAGACATGTATACATATACTGTGTACAGATGGACAATGATTACGTGACTAATGTAGCACTAAAAAACATGATAATTAAGAGTTGGGTTGTATATGGCAATGGTGGTTAAATGACCGACACTGCTCCCTCAAGGATGCCCAATAGGGAAGTGCTCGCCAACTCCTCTTGACTTATGGAAAAGTTGACGCTCAGTAACTGTGTCACACTCACACAACTTGATTTAGGCTACATTTCTATAGCATTAATGGTTTTCACATACATTTTAAGTATTTGGTTCCAAGAATTGTTTATTTGTGCAAATGTAACAATTTTAAAAGAACATATTTTTAGAATGTTTTGATGGTTTCACATATTTGATAGACAAAGTAGAATAGTGGTATCAATTATACAAAAAAATCTGATTAAAGAAGAACTATGAAGCAGTACTTTAGTCCATTAAAAATACATCCATTGTTTAGAATATGAATTATCAGTAGAAAATATGATGAAAGATGTGTAAAAAATAATTTTAGTGTGTAACTGCCACCAGAGGGAGAATCTGAAATGGTTACATTTTCATATTCATTTCACTTGAAATATTCGCATAAAGAATTCAGCTGCAATACTTTTGTTAAAACTTATAACTGAGTGTGATGTCATAGTTCTTTTTCTCAACAGCAACTAAGCAATACCATTATAGTACACGCTCCTGATCTTTGAGACAAGTTACAAGATTAAAACAGACCTGGAGTTGTTTCTATCTCCTTTAATGCTGCCAATAATACATTAAATAATAAACTATCAAAACTATACTTCAAACTACTCGAGAAAGTGCAGCAAGCAGCGGAAGACCAACATTGTTTACTGTTATCTTGATTAAAGCTGGGCTACAGGACTTTTTTCACCCATAAATAATGCATTTTGTTCCAACAGATAGGGTTGTAAAAGTAAACTACAAATAAACAAAGATCCCATCATGCTGTTATGTGTTATTTGAAAGATAGAGCCTTAAGAGTCACTATCTGACTCTTTGGGCTGAGTGTGGTCCTCACTTTTTCACTTTTCTGTATGGAACAACTGATCTAAACATGTGACAGAGACAGAAATAGGTGAAAACTAATTATAGAAAACTTTTATTCAATTTTTTTATTTTTTATTAGGTAAGCGTAAGGCTGGGCGATAAAACGATAACGATATATAATGCGACAGACACGTGTTCGATATCAATAGAAAACAAGGTCGAAAGAATGTTCGATAGTTTAACTTCACTCCGTTAGAAGAAAAAAAACAGGAAGTAAACACAGGAAGTAAAGCAGAGTCAGAAGCGCACGGCATTCTGGGGGATGTAGGCAGAGGCTTCTCGACCTATCACAGTCAGGCATGAACCGCAAAAAATTCTGGGAAAAGTAAAAACAACAACCTCACCATGAGTTAGAGTTTCACTTTTCAACCCGAGCCCGAGCAGGCCCGAGCCCGGCCCGAACAGCGCTTAGCAGTCGGGCCGTTCCGGGCTCGGGCTCCTTTTTATTAGTACTTTTTTCATTTTTTTTAATCAACATTATTATTTTTTATGATTTTCATACATAATGATATGCATATATGTATTTATTAATAATAATGTCCGTTGATTCACAACAAGTTATTAAAAAAGTTTATATATTTATAACACCGTAACCGGCGTGTCCTACAGCCGCAGCAAGCCATGAACGCGTCATCCCTGTTTTTCCTGTTGAATGCTACGGTCAACAGCGAACACACGGAACATTCACAGAAATGGATCAGGTGGACGTACAAAACACATTCAGAAGTGGCTAAACTTGCAATTGGAAGGTGAGTGCGCACAACAAGGGAAATCAGATGTGTCGGGCTTCTGTCGGGCTCGGGCCTATTATACAGCCTTAATTGGTCGGGCTTATACGGGCTCAGGCTTAGTATTAGTGGGCTCGGGCCGGGTCGGGCTTGATTTTTCAGGCCCGAACGAAACTCTACCATGAGTAGCGTCCATGGATCTATAGATCATTTTTCAATACTGTGAAAATAGTTATGCAGGTCCGTGTGAGGAACAGCATGTGCGGCGGGAGAGGCAGTGGGTACAAAGACTCGATGCATTCGGCAAAAGCAAAAGATTAACTTTTTCCGGAGCCGTAACGGGGAAACAAGACACTCAAAAACAGCCAAAACAGGAGCTAAACCAGGACTAAACCAGGATTAACAATGGATGACACTGTGCTTGTGAACATATTCCTCTAGCCTCATTCCCCGGTGACTATGAACTACGGCTGCTAACGTGCGTTAGCCGACACGACAAATGTATTTATTTAGGTAAAAACAAAAAAACAATCAATATATACCGTTATCGACCTATATGAATTACTTATATTGTGATGTCGTTTTCAGCTTTATCGCTCAGCCCTAGGTAAGCCATATATTTAAAAGTCACAAGATACAAAATAGTTCAATGTGAGGGCTGTATAATTATACCATTTTGACAAAATGAATCATTCTTTGAACTTAGTATGAGGTCATGGTTTGGTCTACTATTCAATGAGAATATTTCATTCATCACAACAGTATGTATTTTGACTTCTCTGAATGGGGAAAGAAAGTGTTTTGATGGATACATTGATGAAGAAACAATATATTGGTTTGGTTTGAAAAAAGCTGAGAGACTGGAAAGGGAGGTGGACAGTTGGTACAAAACATGTGACTCACAGAGCAATAAATGAATCTGGATTGTCATTAAAATGTGGACACGTACAGACATGTCCTGTGATTCCACAAACATGGAAGATCTTATTTTCTAATCGGGGTTAATTACTTTTACTTATCTCAGAACACATTCCTACAAGTTAGAAAAACCCCAGCAGACGACAAACATCCATTTGGCAAACATGGGATTAACAAAAACAAATTTATAGGACATTATTCAACAAAACAATGAATTTCTGTGAGTTATTATATTTGACCTTGTAGTGACTAGCGGTGTTGGGGAAATAGATTCTGATAGAGAATCAAAATCTATATGTATATCTATCAGGATATATTGCGTGCATGCAATTAAATCTACTAAGTAGAGAAATATTTCATTAAATTATCCGTTTCCCTTTGTGTTTTCTCTGAGTTTAGTCTGGTAATATTCATTTAAATATCACATCCACAAGGTGGGGTTTGTGGCAGTACTTTGTTTTCGGGCAGTCGTTCAACAGGAAGTTTAAATGAAAATGCTTCATCACCAACATGTTTTTGCCCTATCCTCTTAAGTGTTTGTACTTCAGTTAAATGTGCAGAACATACAGTGCCTTTGTGAAAGTATTCGGCTCCCTTGAACCTTTCAACATTTTGCCACATTTCAGGCTTCAAACAAAGATATCAAAATTAAATTTTTTGTCAAGAATCAAAAACAAGTGGGACACAATCGTGAAGTGGAGCAAAATTTATTGGATAATTTAAACTTTTTTAACAAATAAAAAACTGAAAAGTGGGGCGTGCAATATTATTCGGCCCCCTTGCGCTAATACTTTGTAGCGCCACCTTTTGCTGCATTTACAGCTGCAAGTCGCTTGGGGTATGTCTATCAGTTTTGCACATTGAGAGACTAGAAAACTTGCCCATTCTTCCTTGCAAAACAGCTCGAGCTCAGTGAGGTTGGATGAAGAGCGTTTGTGAACAGCAGTCCTCAGCTCTTTCCACAGATTCTCGATTGGATTCAGGTCTGGACTTTGACTTGGCCATTCTAACACCTGGATACGTCTATTTGTGAACCATTCCATTGTAGATTTGGCTTTATGTTTTGGATCATTGTCCTGTTGGAAGATAAATCTCCGTCCCAGTCTCAGGTCTTTTGCAGACTCAAACAGGTTTTCTTCCAGAATGGTCCTGTATTTGGCTCCATCCATCTTCCCATCAATTTTAGCCATCTTCCCTGTCCCTGCTGAAGAAAAGCAGGCCCAAACCATGATGCTGCCACCACCATGTTTGACAGTGGGGATGGTGTGTTCAGGGTGATGAGCTGTGTTGCTTTTACGCCAAACATATCGTTTTGCATTGTGGCCAAAAAGTTCGATTTTGGTTTCATCTGACCAGAGCACCTTCTTCCACATGTTTGGTGTGTCTCCCAGGTGGCTTGTGGCAAACTTTAAACGAGACGTTTTATGGATATCTTTGAGAAATGGCTTTCTTCTTGCCACTCTTCCATAAAGGCCAGATTTGTGCAGTGCACGACTGATTATTGTCCTATGGACAGACTCTCCCACCTCAGCTGTAGTTATCTGCAGTTCATCCAGAGTGATCATGGGCCTCTTGGCTGCATCTCTGATCAGTCTTCTCCTTGTTTGAGATGAAAGTTTGGAGGGACGGCCGGGTCTTGGTAGATTTGCAGTGGTCTGATACTCCTTCCATTTCAATATAATTGCTTGCACAGTGCTCCTTGAGATGTTTAAAGCTTGGGAAATCTTTTTGTATCTAAATCCGGCTTTAAACTTTTCCACAACAGTATCTCGGACCTGCCTGGTGTGTTCCTTTGTCTTCATGGTTCTCTCTGCGCTTTAAACAGAACCCTGAGACTGTCAAAGAGCAGGTGCATTTATACGGAGACTTGATTACACACAGGAGCATTCTATTTTAACCTGGCAAGAGCCAGATTGATGATTGTGTAGAACTCTAACGCGTTCTCCACGATATCAATCTGGGATTTCTCCCGGAGAATCCTTTCGGGGAAAGGAGGGATAAGCAGCAGAATACTTCAAGCTGATTGGGCGAAGTGACGCTGTGTGCCCGCCTACCAAGGTTGCCGTCCAGAAATGCACAAAGCGCCTCTCGCTGTTCATCTTTCAAAAAAGAAATTTGAGATTCTGCTAAAACTGACTTGATAGCCTCAGCTACGCGTCCGTCCTCCTGCGTAGCCATGTTTGTTTTGCTTCGGCCCGGCACTTCTTGCTTTCGTCAAACCCGGATATCCCGCCCTAAACCCCCAGACTGGCGCGTGATTGGCTCGCACACCCAGTGGTTCGACTCGAAAAGTGTAAGCGGGAGCGGTACAAGATGTATTCTCGAGTGTTTGTGAACTCACAAATACCGCGAGAATTCAGCTTGCAGGCAAGGTTAATTCTATTTATCATCATCAGTAATTTAGGACAACATTGGATCATTCAAAGATCCTCACTGAACTTCTGGAGTGAGTTTGCTGCACTGAAAGTAAAGGGGCCGAATAATATTGCACGCCCCACTTTTCAGTTTTTTATTTGTTAAAAAAGTTTAAATTATCCAATACATTTCGTTCCACTTCACGATTGTGTCCCACTTGTTGTTGATTCATGACAAAAAATTAAAATTTTATATCTATATGTTTGAAGCCTGAAATGTGGCGAAATGTTGAAAGGTTCAAGGGGGCCGAATACTTTCGTAAGGCACTGTAAATGTGACATTTGAGTTGAGCTATTTTATTTTCCTCAATTTTTGACTAGAATCACAATACTCGCTGTATTGCAATATGTATAAATAATCTAAATATTGATTTGTGGAGCAAAGATTGCAGTACCATTGAATCGTCACATTTTTACAAATTCTTCCGGGTGACCCAGGGGCTGCAGGAGTGGTCAGAGTGTTTACTTGCCATGAAAGTGGTCTGTGTGGGTCAAGTGTTTGGGAGCTTTTCTCTGCGGATTGATCCTTGCACCAGAAAACCTACAAATCTATTAATCAGGGTTGTGTCTGTAGAGTCACAGGATCAAAAGTAAACATCAGGATTTATTTTTGTCACATACAATAACGCACCTTTAACCAGGAATGTCCCACTGAGATTATATCTCAGTTATAGCAAGTTCTGGCCCCAATTAGAGTGGAGTCCCCTTCCCCTTTTAGTGGAAGGGGAAACCGGAACACCAGGAGGATACTTCCTTGAAAAATCATGCCAGTTTAATATTCAAATATTAAGAGCAGTCTGATATTTGTTTGAATGTCATTATTTTTGGTTAATATTCAAATTATGTTCGAATATTGAATTTTTTTTATCCAGCCAAAACGCAGACACAGGGAGAACATGCAAACTCCTCTGAGAAAGGCCCTGTTCTGACCAGAATTCAGGTCCGGGCGCCCAGCAAAACAAGAACCCTTTTCCAATTTCCATCAAATCTGGGTCACAATAAAACAAGACACAATTTATTTCCTTGTTCTTTGTTTAAATTGTAACCATTTTGTTGTAATTATAAGTTGCAAAATTCCCAAAATGTGCAAAAATAGACAAATTGTTGCCAAAGCCTCATTCTCTGATTCTATGAATGCTAGTTATTATATGAGTTATGTGATAGGAATATTTTGCATGTAATTTTTCTCATCAAATAGACGTGTACACTTCATATAACCCTGTCAAAAACTGTTGTAAATGACTCTTAATATGCAATAATGGTCTACCTGCTCGTCCGGTCCTCCATAGTCCGTAACGTCACAGCGAATGGAAATGGGCTGGCCCTCCACTCGTATCAATGGACCAACAGGAACTGACACTATCCGACTGTAGACTCCACCTAAAACACAGCCAACATATTACATTTATACACTTTACAATAATGAGAGGATTGTAATGAATTTTCTGGGCTATTAAAGGATTTGAGGCGTAGAGGAAAGAAAGAGAAGCTTATATGTCAGGGATAGGCTTAGGCAATAGCAGAACCAGGTTGGTGATAATACATGTATGAAGAGATTATTGGGAATATTGTATCATTGTCAGTGGTATTCACTGTAATAAGTCTCATTAGCAATGCATCAAAATTTGGCAAGAATAAATCAGGTTTTAAGAGCTAGCATGATCGCTGTTAGCATCAGATTTTGAAGCATAGATGTAGAAATTGTGTTTACTTAAAAAAACGATATTTTTTTATTTACAGACCTTAAAAAGAGACCGTCAGTACAACGTGATTCTAATGTACGGATGAAAAGTTAGAACCAGAACAACCAAACTATTGTGGAGGAGGATGGACAGCTATAGTTTATGTATTATTAAAGAAAGTAAGTATTGAAGTTAAGTACAAGTATCAGTATCAGCAGCAGCAGCAATATCAGTGGTAGTAGTAGTGACAACAGCAGTAGTAGTAATAGCAGCAGTAAAAGTAGCAGTAGAGCAGCAACACCTGTAGTAGTAATAGCGGTATGAATAGCAGCAGCAGTAGTGGCAGTAGGAGCAGTAGTGGAAGCAGTAGTACCAGCAGTAACACTAGCATCAGTAGTACCAGCAGTAGCATCAGTATCAGTAGTACCAGCAGTAGCATCAGTATCAGTAGTACCAGCAGTAGCATCAGTATCAGTAGTCCCAGCAGTAGCATCAGTATCAGTAGTACCAGCAGTAGCATCAGTAGTACCAGCAGTAGCATCAGTAGTACCAGCAGTAGCATCAGTAGTACCAGTATCAGTAGTACCAGCAGTAGCATTAGTAGAGGTAAATATTTTAACATTCATTGACATAGAATCTACTGTATTTAATGTAAGGGACCACATTCACAATCAGACGAATCTGACAGATATAATACATTCTGGTTTCCTTGTTGCAGAATAAAACCATGTGTCAGACTAAATGGCTCTTCACAAACTGTTTTATCTCTCAATTCAGAACGAGTTCACGCAGTTAAAGTGATGGAGTTTGACCCAATTAGTGTCGGAGCTGGAAGTGTTTTTGGAAAGAGGAGCAGCGTGAGACCACAGCGCAGGGTTAAGAGGACGAGACAGTAAATCTTATGAATAAAATTAAAGACAGTTTTATTATTACTAATCAATCTGGAATACTAAAATAAACGTCATCTATGAAAAAAAAAATCATAATAATTTTAGCCTTGGAAAATGAGAAATGTCTAAGGCTATAATCTTGATTTGAGATTAAAGCTGAGGAACTCAATTTTCAAAATACATCTAACTTTTTTCCATCAGTCTCAATCTCTCATTAGTAATCACATGCATCCGTGTTTGGCCAGTAGCACAACCATAGAGCATATTTTTTCACATACAAAAAAAAAGAACCAGGACTGATTACCCCAGCAGCGACCAATCAGCTGTCAGCTAGGGATGCAGATACAGACACAGGAGCCAATCAGGAGCATGTTACTTATCTAATCGTGAAGCAGGAGTGAAAACTTGAAATACAGGCACTGCTTAGACCCGCGTATTGTGTCCTCTGTTCAATGTTTAGAATGAGGGTTGTCAAAGGTCGACTAAAACTAGCATCAAAACTAGACGCTAATTTGAGCAAAGTATAAACGCTGACATTGACTATTATATCCACTGGGGAAATTACTCTTGTGTGTGAAAAAAGTACATTTAGAATTTCACTGTGAACCAAAGCATAGAAAGAGGTCCGAACCAAGCAAAAATTAACCAGAGAAAGCAGCTCATCACCAGCGGCTGTTCCACCTCTGCTGTGGCCTAAAGTACTGCTGCACTTTATTACTATAGTTGGTACTGAAGAAAATGACAAAGTCTGGGATCATGTCTTTGATTCAGACAGAAGACGGGTTTTATTGTCGACGGTAGACGAGCACGTACAAAGATTTTACAGAATGTATGTGATATTAAACAGCATGGAAGAATGGAAACCGTCCAATCAGAAGCTGCCAATGTGCCCGTAGTTTCAACCTTGAGATAACCAAAACATGTAGTGGGAAAAAACTACCATGTGTATTGTGTTAGAATGAAGAGTTTAACTTTAACCACAGTTGCTTCAAAGTGACATTTAATCTCCAAAGTACCTTTCATTTTACAATAGTTTTTTCTTGTCCGTTTGTTTGGATGGATGTGTTTCTGCTGATTGGTCTCCTACAGGGATCAATAAAGTATCTATGTATACGTGTCTACCACTTGCATACATAAATACATTAGCATTTAGCTGGCCCTATCCCTGCTTTCGCCCTTCCCCCGGTGTTTAGGCCCATACATTCCTTAGTCCCTTGAACAGAGCATTTCTACAGAACACCACCATCTCTGCACGATCTGTGACAGCTCCCTTCGGTCATGTCCCAAACTCAGTCCCACGTTTCACTTGTTGTGGCCCGTCTTTCTGGTGACGCAGCACTTTTTTCTCTCGCACAAACATGTCTTTCTCAGTATTTCTTCTTGTGCCCACGACTTCTTTTTCAGAGTTTGGCGAGAAGGAAGCAGCTCGTTGTCTCTTTACAAAACAAAAACAGCAGGATTCTGGGCATAGTCCTGGTTCAACTTTTGTCAAGTTAAAGTTGAAACTCCATCATTCTGGGTTAATATCTGCCAAAAGTGATCCTATAAATGTAGTTATTTTACAGCTCCTCAAAGTAGCCGTCATTAGTGGTCATTATTTTGTGATAACGGACCTCTAAAACCAATAATGACCGCTGCCCAGGGGAATGCAATTTGCCTTGTAATTCAGGTGCGTGAAGATCACGCCGCAAAGTAGTCCGGGCACTTCATCAACGAGCTTTCAGCAACACGGAGCCCGTCACTACTTTCTTTGCGAGAGAAGCTGTGGAGCTAGCCACGCTACTTCAGCTCAATAAACACAAATATCAATCAATCAACACAATTATACATATACATTCTTAACACACACCGAGGTTTTCAGAATTGTCTGTTAAAGTTTCATAACAAAAATGAGATTGCAGTAAACCCAGAAGTTAATTAACATTAATAGATCATTTTAGGACGCATTTGCACAGGATCAGATTTTGGATTTAGGTTGAGTTTATAAACGGGTCACTCACCGCTGATGTTCACAATTCTTTGTTCAGTTTTTATGTAGTTCGAGAGCGTTCAATTTTTTAAGTAGTTAGCCAAGCTGTTACCCGCCTAGCCATGGCACGGTAAAACTTTTGGGAACTATTTTATTTGCAGTCATTTTAATAAACCTTTCAGCAGTCATAAAAGTCTGGAGCTTATTTTACATGTTCAATTGGCACAAAGCCGTATAATAAGCGGGATAATATATGGAACGCAGGTCATAATAAAAATACTGTCCAGTTCGCCCTGTCGGTATTCATTTTCCAATAATAATCAGTCTGGGCATCTCTGCTCAGACTCATACACACACGTGTGCCAAGAGCCAAAAGGTTTATTTGATGACTGCAAATAATACAGTTCCCATAGTTTTAGAGTGGCAAGGCGAGTAACAGCTAGGCTAGCTACATATTTATATATCAAACTAGACGTTCCTGTTCGAGGTGCAGTTGGAGATGAGGGATGGTGGTGTATATCTGGGTAAGTTCAACTATCGTAAAAATGTGAATGGGAATGTCAGTGCTTGTTTCAGATTAGTCTTGTTTAAAAGAGTTTTGCATTAGCTTAGCATGCTTAGATCTGTGCAATGATAGTTCCTACTTTGAATCTAAATGTTTGTTTGTTGTACCAAATATCGTCTCCGGGGCCTTTTCCAAAACAAAGTCCCTCCATGGAAACAGCCTTGAAGTCTTGTTGAAGCCATTAGCATGCTAGCCTCCCCCTGTGTTTGCCGTGCAATTAGCCTGGCGGTGTGACGTGGGCCTGGGTAGTGCTGGTGGCTCACATCTGCTTTGCATTCATCTCAGCGAGGGAGTTTCACAGGTGAAGCCCGGGACATTCCTGATGAGAAAAGCGTGTTCTGACACAGACTGGGCTGAATGTGGAGGAGGAAGCCACTGCAGCTCACCAAAATATGGGTTTGGAAAGTTTAAGGAAGTCTGAAAGTAGGACAGTTGTATGCACTTTGGATTTAGAGTTCACGTTTCAATGGTAATAAAAACAAACTATTGGATATACGCATGTTAGATTGCTTTAAATTAGATTAGTTTTTCTTCTCTCTTTTCGACTCTCTGCTCCCCCAATCTCTGTGCTCCAGTTCAAATGGCTTTGTGGGGTCAGGTTTGCAACTAATTATTACCTCAAAAGATTTTTAATTATTGTTGATAAATCCATTAGACATCGAAAAGGAGAAATGAACTTTTGCAATTAAATACGATAATCCCAAATGGATCAATTGGTGAAACACAACTTTGAGGACCGATTCTTCCATTTCTCATGTTTTGAGTCATGTCTTGCAGCCCCATTCACACTGGATAAGCAGTAGCCTGGTTGTACCACACCATAGTACAAATTTAATTTCATACTAAGGTCTGGATTTTCTCCATTGAGCTCCGTGAACAGGTGGGAGGGGTTAACTCCTTTTGCAGATTGAAACGATTGGATCCGAGTTTACAGTGACGTATGTAATGCGCCCGAGTGAATTGTTAGCATTAGCATTTAGCCTAGCCATCTCCTTTGCCGCTAACGGAGCCCGTGGGGAGTAGCGCCACAATCTTTCCAGTGATTACATTTGCTAAACATTCCTCTTGCTCCTGCTTCAATTTCTTGATAGAACCAGACCAGATTACTTTACTATCGCATTCTTCGCCAAACTACAACTTGCCCGTTCGGCGCAAACTCTTGACGTCACCGGCACCGACCTACAACGCACTCTGAGTAGCCGGTCAAAATACTGTACGACCGATTGTAATCGCTAACACAGGGACCAGACCCAGACGCTACATGCAGTGAAATG